CTACTGACAGGAAACTCATCCTGCTGCCTAGCACACTTCAGAAGAAATACCACAAGGGAGCTCATCCCTATGAGAGCTGCTTGAGCCTGGTGTAATGCCACACAGCCCCAGTGTAGAAAGAAGGATGATGAAGATTTGAGCATTAATACCACCTCATTTTCTATGTGAATAGCACCCTGGCTATGGTAGGAAACAGTCCCATCTCTCACAGGTGGCCGTGCTGCAGGGCTGCTGTCTGAAAGAGTGCTCAATGCTTTTCTGTACATCTTGACCTACAACTTCCACTCATTTTCATTCTCCATTTGGATTTTTAGATGCGATACCCTCAGACTTAATAGTCAGGTAGCTAGCATGTCCACTGACTCTGAACCATCCAGGAGATGCAGCCAGAGCTCAGTGTAATGGCCACATCCCCTCTTGTTGGATGTAATACACATCTGGAGCAGAACATCTGCAAGGCTGTCACTGCAAAGCAGTAATCCCTGCTGCAAGAGGTTTGCACAGCTCAGTAACATCAGTAAGCTGCTCTGGTCTCTGCCAGGAAGCATCTAATTAGAGAAAAGCCTGAAGGATTGTGATTTCCAGAAAAAAAACTGAGCATTTGCCCACCCAAAGTCAGCTAAGGCCTCTAAGTGGTATTCTAAGACAAATACAAAATTATCACCCTTACAAGGAGCTTAACTTAGGCACTCAGCGTAGAAAATAAAAGATTTGGGTCAGAGTGCCCTAAACAAAGGATCTAATCTTCACAATTCCTCAGGGGAGCAGGAATTTACAGTGGCAGGTGTGGGAGAAAGGAAGTGAAAGGGGAGTGCAGCCAAGGGGGCACTGACCCCTGTTAACCTGAGCTGGTACAGCATGCATCCTTGTCTACAGCCACAAGGTTGGACAGGGGGAGATGCAGAGCTGCTTCATTCTCTGATGTCACTGCAGTCATAAAATGGCTTAGGTTGGAGGGGACCTTTAAGATCACCAGTTCCAACTCTCCTACCATAGGCAGGATTGCCAGCCACTAAATCAACCTGCCCTTGAATGCCTCCAGGGATGAGGCATCTATAGTCTCTCTGGGCAGCCAGTTCTAACACTTCACTACCCTCTGAGTAAAAAATTTCTTCCTAACATCTATCCTAAACCTCCTCTCTTCTACTTTAAAGGCATTCTGCCTTGTTCTGCCACTATCAGGCCATATAAAAAGTCAGTCCCACTTCTGCTTGTAAGCTCTCTTCGAGTACTGGAAGGCCTCAATGATATCTCTCTAGAGCCTTCTCTTCTCCAATCTAAAAAAGCCAGTCAGGCTGTCCCTTCTCGTGGCACTGCTCACGTGAGACTACTGAGGCAAGGCATCCTTCTGTACAGCAGCATCCTGGACCAGCTTAGAAGTTTGCAGCTTAACTGTCCAAATAGGCATAGCATAACCTTGCAATAAAAATGTTACACTGACACATCCTGGCTTTGGGTCCCATGCTGAATGAACTGACCTACAGCCACAATATCTTCTGCCAAAAAAAAAAAAAAAGCAAAAAAGCCCTGCTGTTCCTCCCAGCAAACACAAAAACACAAACACACACGTGCACACACACACGGCCGCGAGCCTGCCTGGAGGCAGAACAGCCAAGGACACGCAGCCTTCAGTGAGCAGCAGATTTCTTCAGAACAAATGCTTGGCAAGAATTATACTTTTATATTTTCCTTCCCACAGCACATCAAGAGTAGTGTCTGTTTTACTAGCATGCACTTATTAAGCTGTTAAAGGCAGCATTCTGGCATGGTTAGTGAAAAATACATGTTCGTGTATTGCATGAATCACAGTCCAGCTTAACTAGCAGGTCTGAACAGCATATTCTACACCATCAAAGCATCACTTGACTTTTAAAGACGAACCAGGTGTATTTTATGGAAGTGAGGACAGATCCTCCAACCAAACCTGCAGACAGTCAGAGTCTGGAAACAGGCAGCTTGCTAAGGTCAGAGCTGCTGGTCCCAGAGCACCTCTAAGCAGACTCTGGTGTAAGCATCACAGCAGGCCCAAAGCCCATCCAGATCTGATAAAGACCTTGGCATATCCCAATGGTGAGATAGTCCCTATTCTTACTCTTTCTGCTGAAGAATAACACTCTGCAGTTAAAAGCCACTACAAACTGTTCCACCCACAACTCACGTCTAAACTTAGCAGCACTGACAGATGCAAATGCCTTTCTCTTTCTAGAATTTTATTTGCTATTGACATAAGCAAATAAACCTTGACCCAATCTGAGCTGACAGCCTAAAGATGAACAGTTTGATATTCGAATTTCCATCTCCTCTTATACCACTGCACCAGAACACATTCCCACACCACCTCAGCTACTAAAAGCCAGCTGCACTTACAATATAGATTTTCTGATTCTGCTGCTTCTGATGCTCCATGGCCTTTGTTCCTAGGCTGTACAATTAGTATCTGAGTAATGCTTTCAAAACAGGTCTTCGCTTATGAGTTCCAGCCTAAGAACAAACTGGCTTTGTCAAACATCAGAAAAATCATCCTCTCATCAATGGCACAGGAGTCAAATACCCAGTGCCCTCCTGTCCTGCTGTCTAACACAGAGCCATCCACCCCACTGGTGCTACAGGTTCAGAGTGTCCACAGATGGTCAAACAGCAGAAGTTAGAAGCAGAACTGATGCGGGGGGGGGGGAAAAAAAAAAAAAAAATCAAACAAAAGGGCAGATCAGATAACAGGAATGAGCGTTCAACAAGGCGGACAATATTGAACAGCTTAATAAGAATCAGCCTTCTAGTGTGTACTTTGTCTCCCCCTGCCTTCCTGCCCTCTTCATTTCTCTCACCTGCTCAGCAGATTGAAAACATGACACTGATCCAGTGGGCTACGTTGCTTGTGATAGCCACCTTTTGGAGCTGGGGCAGGGATTCCCCACCTGGAATTGTTTGGGTTGCATTCAGTAACCAGTGTTTGCTTTCTAGTAGTACCTATCCAGCTCTCACTGAGCCCTGTGCTCATCATCCTAGCTGTCATAAAAATGCCTGGAGACAGTATGTAGCAATTACACCTCTCCACCCCCATCCACCTCCAAAGAAGAGGCATCTTCAATAGATAACGAGAATAGAAATCAGTAGAAAGGAAGCACTACCAGTACTGTCATTAGACAACCTCTGTTGCTGTTTTTCACGTCTCCTATTGCCCATCAGCAGCCCTCAGGCTCAAGGCTCTGGGCCTTTTGTCCTCACTTTGGCACATTCAACATCTGGCATTCATCACTCTCATAAGGGTAGTATCTGCTTTTTACTGTGTAGGAATTCTATAAAGCATTGTTATCATTGCTCCAAGAGAGGAGAGCTATCAGCATGAATCACAGACGAACTGAAAGAAGATTTTCAGGATTAATAGGTCTGAAATATTTCTGACAGATCAGTTAAAAGATGCATTAAGGTAGAATATAACACTCATGAAGCCCAAGAATTGCTTCTCTTTCCTTGACTTCTACCCAGTGGAGCAAATCCTGAGCTGCTGAGTCAGCTTCTTGACATACTTGTTCAGGAATAACTAGAAAAGATTAGTAAAAATACAATATTTTATTGCAGTTTTTGTGAGGCATCTTAACATTATTGGTATTTACTGCTGTCACTCTTCATAGAGAGTTGCTCAGTACTCTGTGGAGCCAGGAACAACATACATTTTAGTTTTTTCTTATGTAAGGTACAAGTGTCTCTCTAGGGCCATCAACTTGGAAAACTATATCCAGGAAATAACAAAAATCAGCTCATCTTTCTATTGAATTAAAATTAACAAGATAGCTGTAATATAGGATGATGATAGAGTGACTGCCATTGAAATATTTGTATTTTAATAACAATTGCATTCCCTCTGTGTTTTAGTACAGTTCAGAAGAGAATTTTAAAGCAGAAAGAGGTACTGGACCTTGGAAGAACTACCTCCAAGCCAAACCCTCCACCAAGATACCAGCCTGGCCAGCAGCAGGGAAGGATCTGTTTCATCTCCCAGGCACTGCATGGAGTAACAGGGAAAGGTTTGGGCTGTCAGCCCCCATCCCATGAGCTGCTATTCTTAGTTGTCTGAAGAGACTGGAGAAAAGCAGCCAAGGAAAAGTCTGCTGGGTTGGTAGTGTCTTGCCAGACTGAGGGACTAATTCATTAAATAAGGGGTGGACTCTGTACCAAAGCCTCTTTAATTAAGCCACCCAAAAGTGCCTTAATTAAGGTAATTTCATGTGTCCTCCGCTATCAGCAGCTTTTCATGTACGAGCAGGACTTCATAGCATTTCATCCTCCTCTGCTTGTACAGGCTACACAGGCTTGAGATAGTCAAGCTGCCAGCTCTTCCTCTCCCCTAAATAACACCATTTATCCTATGCAGATGAGTTTAGTCTTATGGCATCGTGGAATCCCGACACACTTACAAGACTGCATTGACTAATGCTTCAGCCAATATTCCATACATACAGTTCAAAGTGAACTACATGACTGATTCATACTGAAGGAGGATGGCCTATTATCCATCCTGGGAACAAATGTATGTGCATGAACGCACTTAGCTGCCAAATACAAACTGGATTATGGTTTTATTCTTATATAAATAAAACACTGACTCTTCACATAATGGTAAATATGAACAATGTTTAAAGGACCTAAAGTACATGATGAGCAGTCTCAACCATTTTACTAAAGCAAATGTAATAATAGAGGAAGAGAGGGGTCTTAGAAAAATATTGTAATGAAAATGGCATTCAGAAATCCATTAGCAAGTGACTGCTTCATCACAGCACTAGGAAAGTATTTTAAATGTAAGCAAAGATCTTTGCTTTTAAAATCCTTAATGAAGATGTAAAGTATTAAAAGCCACTGGGAAGTCTTAGAAAATGAAAACAAGACCATGCAACAAAGCTAACACCTTGATTCGTAATGGATTACAAGTCGATACTGTTGTTCTTGCATACATTACTGCATACTGCCATTATCCAAGTGAATGATACTAGAAAACTCACCTACATTTTTTCCTTGGCCTTCTTATTTCCAGGAAGATTCACTTCATTTGTTGATCTCTCTGATGGGTACTAGTAATGGATGAAATGTGACCGTTTATTTAAATTGCCTTTTATTAGGATAAACAAAACACATATAGGTAAACTCTCAGAGCACTAAGAAAATAGACACAGGGAAAAAAAAAAAGGTAAGGAGAGTACTTCCAGAAGATTAGATTTTGAAACGTATATACAATCTGTACTTTTGTCAGGAAATGCAATGTAATTTCTAGAGGCAAAACTCCAACCACTTTAAAGGAGAAAATTGGTATTTACTAGGTGCAGAAGCTCCTAGCTGGGAAAAGGAATCCTGTGTCCTACAACATCTGGGGTTCAGGGCCTCCCAGCACAGGTAGTGAAGGCACTGTCCCTTAAAGGCTTTTCAAGGCACCTTGCAGAAGAAAGGAGAAATGTATTTTCCCTAGAAATGTATAATTCAGACAGAACCTGTGATTTTTTTTATATGGCTGCAGTGTTTTTGACAAGCGCTCACCTTCTGTCATTTTGTTGTCAAGTATGGCACTGAAGAGCTCTGAGAAATGCAAGGGCAGTGCTTCACTGTGAACAACCATCCGTCAGCACCGCTCACTCTGCCACACTGAGGAAAAGATGATGCCCTAGAAGTTGCAGACCTCTGTAGCTTACCCTTTGCCTAGAGATCAAGTGAGGAAAACCAAGCTGAATACTCATGTTTTAATGCAAGCCACTGTTACAGGCATGCTCAGTCTGCAGCACAGTTGAGCAAGTTGAGAAAACCAGTTACCCACCCAACAACTAAAAATTAACTGCTTGGTAAGACTTGAGCCCTAGGACCTCTGCAATAGGAAATAAAATCCCTGGAAATAATCAGCTCTAAAAGAGCCCCCAAGGTCTCACCTTTGGCTGTCATTCCATCAGAAGGCCAACATGCCTCTGGCCTCCCAGGTCGCTCTCTGACACAAGCAGCATCTGCTCCTGTTTTACACTTGTTGAGTAGGTATGCAAGGAGCACAGCCTCCCTGCACCTGCTTGCACTGCAGAAAAGGGTAATATTCAGCCCCAAATTGAAGCAATCTGTCTTTGAGCTCTCAATTATCTTAGATACAACTAAGTACACATTTCTAAGGTGAGTGAAGCCAGTGTAAGGACACACAGCTGCAGAACGGATGAGTAACTCTCTTCCTTAAGCTTGATCAAAAAGACTCAAGTATAACAAAGTTGATGTATTATGGCATTAACGAATTTGGTCTTGTATTTGAATACAAGAGACTGCAGCAGACATTCAGGGTTGTAAAAGTACTTACTGCTTATGTGCTCCACAGCTTAACGAGTAGTGTAGTAATATATAGTCACTGATTGATTTTATAAGTTAACATAATGATTTCATACACTGTAGCTATTCTAAAGCAATGCACTGTTTTGCTTCTGTCGACGCCCAGCAGTTACTGGTTATTGACTGATCCCTCCCTGCACGTGAAGCCAATTAGCAGAAGACCAATCTGGAAGTCAGTCACATGACTAATTTTTAGATAGTGAGTAAGAAGTCCTCAAATGTGCTACTTCAGTTTTAGGAACATTAGCATGCATTCCTTTGGAGATGTAATGTCCAGATAGTTCTGTCATTCTGTTTGTTACTCCAGTTTAATTTAACAGCCCAGATTCTGAGGTCAGGACAGATAGAAAACCCCTTTTCTCACACAAAAGATGCCTGCACACATCCACTCTGACCAGATCCTCTATTGCACAGGAAACTTCAGCTGCAATAGAGCATCTAGGATGCCCTGCCCAGCCCTGCACATCATCTCATACCACGCCTTTCATACACTTATCAACCTCCCTTTGGGGACAAGGTAGACACTGCTCACACTTACCTGGTTACCAGCAGATAACCCAAAGGTTAGATGGACTTTAGCTCCCTATTAATTGCACCAAATTTAGTTTATAGCTTAAACAGCTTTTCTCCCTTAGGGCTTTTTTCTATGCTTCACTTTTCCATTCTCAGTCTGATAAGATAAGCAAACAAAGCCATTAGCCTCTCTGATAGGCTCCCTATTCCTCAATCTCTTCTAGCCCTTAGCTCACTTGTCCTACTCCTCTTCTCCTGTGCAGCCCATAGGCAATTGCTTCCTTAACAGTCACTCAAGCACAGTATCCCATGAGTTCCACATAGGCACCATAAGCAGCAAGCATAGGAGTATAGGATTTTATCTTCACACTTACTTTCCAGAAAAGCACTGCTTGTTTAGAACCTAAAGGTTTTTATACAAAAATTGCTTAAATGAAAAAAATTAATGCATAAACGAAGGTGCTACAAGCTAGCCCAATAGTCAAGATAGAACATGAAGACACACAGGCCAGTAACGCAAGGTCAGAAAAAAAACCTCACAAGTCACAAATCTGAAGAATGCTCAAAACAAGTTGATATGAACTGAAGGAAAACATCCTCCCCGTGGGGCTGTTTTAAATACCATCACTCAGCAGAGTACCCACAGGTGCAGTTAGGAGTTAGGGAAGGCTCTTTCTTCCCCAGTAATGGATAGGTGGTTTCAGCTGGGACAGCCCTGCTCCCAGCAAAGGAGCCCCATGTCCACGCACCTGGGAAAACAGCCACCTGAGAGCAGTGGGGTTCTGCATGCCTCTTTGCAACAGCTGTCAGAGCCTCAGTTCTAGAGGTCCTGTTTTTCACACCTGTGTCACACTATTTGCTCCTTTTGGGTTTTTTTTTTTTTTTCCCCTTTTTTAGATTGTTATCGTTCTCTCCACATACTGGATAGGGCTGGTTTTATTGGGGATAGGGTTAGTTTGTCAGCTATGGATGGTTTCTAAAGATTGCTCATAGGAAATGCATTACAATGTATATATATATGTTAATAAACAAAAGAGATCCAAGGAAAATCGGTATTCCTGAAGACAAGGGGCTCAGACTGGCTTGTATCCTTGCTGCTTACAGACTTTTTCTTTTCTTTTTATTTGCAGCAGCCCTACTGCTTTTTGGTGGGTGGCAGAAAGAATTCATGGTTTCAAAGCATATTTATTTGTAAGATTTAATGCTTTTCCCATCGTTCTGCCTACTCTTGTGGGCACTGGTAAAACCAAAGCTGTGTTTGTTCCAGCTCTGTAGTACCAAGGAACTGGGATTTCTGTGTAAAACCTCGGGCCCAAAAGAATTGTTAGCTCTTGCAAGCCAAGGAAACCACGGTGACATTGGCAGAGCCATTCTGGATGCTGGTGTTTGGTTCTGGTCAGATATTACCACGTCAGTGGAGAATTTGATGTTGCACCCCTGAAAGTCTTCTATATTTTTAGTATTTTCTTGGAAAAAATAAAGCTTTAAAACTGCTAAAATATTGTTGGACTTGTCTTACTGTGTGTAATTTCGAAGCATTTGTTCCAGGCACACTACAATTTTTGCCATTTAGTGATTACCTTTAAATTCTGCGAAGCCTTTTCTCGTGTGCCCTTGTGTAGTGCTTTGGGAGATTGTCTGATGTGAAAAGCACTATTACACACTGAACTGATTATTGTTGTTTGTTGCTGTTAACACAGATAAGAAACCCTCCTGGCAGGGAAACAACTTCTTTTCTAATAAGTATTCATAATTTGTATCTCAGCAAAAGATGTAAACATATATTATCATTAAATAGGCTGTAATTTTAATTGCCTATAAATGTTATTAATTCTGATTGTGATTATTCAATAGGTAATAAAGATAAAGGCTGTCAAAATTAATTAAGTACATATTCATTAAATTCAAGGTAGCTTCAGTTTCTTTATTGCACAAATACAATTAACACTTAATCTGAATCTCAGTAAGTTACATAATCATGTGACTCAAAATAAAGGGAGGATACAACCTTGGCCTTTTACTTTTTACATGGGAAAACATTAATGATGCTGACATTGGAGACAATTAGACAGTGTCGGCCAATTGTTTTTAGTCAGCTTTCTCTCACATCTGTGGTGTCTACAAGCAAGAAGGGCCATTGTTTCTGCAGGCCTCCGTCGCGCTTTGGCTCTTTGTGCTAACCGTCAATCTCTTGCTGAATATCAAAGCTGTGAGGAAATTAGAACAGACCAGCTCTACTGCACCACACTAAAGCTTAGCAGGGTGCATCCACTATGCTACTAATTAGGCAGTGGCCAACAAAATAACCTGTCAATGTGTGCTTGCCATTTCCCACACACCTGCATTTCATACACTAATAAGCGTACAGCCAGAGAGAGAAAGGGATAACTGCTGAAGTGTGAAAAATGAACAAAATATAACAGTGTTTCTCTCCCCACCTATACTACTACCAATTACCATTTAACATTAGGTAGAATCAACATGTCGGAAGAAATACAATACAGTATCTGAAACTAAAGAGGGGGTAGGACGGGGCAAAGCCACACATAGAGTGTATTAATGTTTGCTGCAGAACACCACACTGTGGAATCTCTCATTATTTATTTGAGCTGGGAGGCTGAAAATGATCGTGATTAGGGTTTTTCTATTCACGTCAACTGAAGGAAAAATCCATATTTTAGCTACATACCAAAAGTGAATGTATAAACACCATATCAAATGACATCCAGCGCTCTTCTGACATACCCCATCCTTCACACACATCAGTGCAGTTAAGCCAACACAGACTGGGCTCATGGTCTCCTTCTTATTCGCTTTCTTTCGTCTGGTTGCAAGCCTCTCAGAAACTTTGCGCGCCATCTTTCTAGAGTGTAATTCCTTCCTTTTGGCCATATCAATCAGCGTGTTGGTTCCAAGTTGCCTGGATGACTTGTAACAGTCATGCAATTTTTTCCTGTCATGAATCTTTTCCCTACCAAACGCATGGTTAAAAAACTTCTAGAAATGACTTTTCATTCCGAGAGATGAAAATATGCAAAACTGCACTGCTATTACTGTTATGAAAGGGGGAGGCCGGAGGCTTATGTGGTGATTACAAATATTGTATTTGAGAAAGACTCATCCTCAACAAACAGAAATCAGTCTCATTACAATCTTTGTAACACAGTATCGCTTAGAATTCACAAAACTCCCACTTACAAACCTTTGTAAATTACTGGTTCTTGTACAATAGTAATTCACACACCGTATATTTCCTTCCCTTTCCCCAGCTTTAATGCCTGATCAGATTGCAAGAGTGATGATTTAGAAGTGATAGGTGCTGAAAACAAAGCGGGGCATGAGTACAGATATTAAGTCAGGTGCAAAAAATACCCAAGGCCAAGCTGCGAAGTCCATTACCTTTACTGAGGATCTGGCTCAGCTGAATTCAACGGTTCAGACTTTGAGCCCTTTTTTTTTCCCTTTGCACAAACTGTAGGGGTGGAAATGCAAATTTACTTGTGTAAAACACGGAGATTCCCTTGTAGGTCTCCTTCCCACTCCATGCTGATGTATGTAGTTAAATTTGCTTCTTTTTTATTTTTTTTCCTATAGGCTTGAGCTTTGGTGGATCAAGTGGATGAATAGCAGAATTTCCCCTAGAAAGCACCAAGATGTATAGATGTCTCTCACTCCTGAGCAGCCGCCCTGCCGACTGCCTTTAATGTATAGCTGATTTTAAAAGAAGAAATGAAAACTAGAAGGGCCGGTGCAACGTGTGGATTTAGCTGTTTTCCTCTACAAGAAAAATCACTCCATCTCAATATGTAGGAGAAATGACTATATTGTTACGCTATCCTTGATGGAAATCATACAATAAAGGCCAATATTCAAATGGTATTTGTTAGATACTTTTGAACACCACTCTGCCTTTCATTAGACTTTATCCAGGAGCAGCATTTTCAATTATAAATAAAAACTTTCTCCGCCTCTTCCCACTTGAGCTCAAGTACAGAAGGCCCCTATTTAAAATGCAGCTCCCGAGCAGGCCACCAGGCCGCCTGTTCAGCTGCCAGTGGCTTTTGTGTACAAAGATGTTAATTGGTCCTAATCCCCTCCTAGAAGCTGTTTTGGTAGCCTGACCTGGCACCCCAAAGGACACCTTGGTGTGAAAAACTAAAGGGCCCATTCAAAAGAGAGTGAAAAGCGGCACTGAGCATTCCAACACATTTTAATTTCAGGAATTAAAAAAAGGGAGGGTGTAGCTAGAGGGCTGTGGCAGCGGGGGGACGGCACACAACATCCTCCTGGTTCTGAGCCGGGCGTACAAAGCAGGAGGAGCGGTGAAGTAAGCTCAGCAAACATCCCTTCCACACGAAAAGCTGCAGGCTGCGTGCACGTCAGCCCCACGTTTGGATTTTCCTCTTCCACGTTGGCATTGCCAGTGCACAGATTGCATCTGGGAAGGCCGGGGGCTGTGGAAGCAGAAACCCAAACGCAACGTGAGGGCCCAACATGGCCTCTTCCATCGCCTGGGGGGGAGCTGTACAAAGCTAGGCTGAATAAGGGCCAAACATGGCCACTCCTTCACCCACAGGGAGCTGCACAAGCCCAGACCGAATACAAGCCCAAAATGGCCTCTCCATAACCCAAGCGGAGCAGCACAAGCCCAGGCCAAAGCATGCTTCCCTCTGTGTTCCGCTTGCCCTTTCTGGGCCACAAATAAGCATCCAGGGAATGAAGTAGAGAAGACATTGTTATTAGGCACATTCGGAGCAGCTGGAGGGGGGTGGAGGAAGAGGTGAGGAAGGAAAAATGGAGAAAAAAAACAGCTATTACTGCAATCTTATAATCAAACCTGCAGAAGAAATGTTAGATGTAAACAATCCCCCTTAGGACGCTGTAAAATGCTATCTGTTCAGCATGCCATTGTACAAAGTGTACATTTACAGCTTGGGTGGTAAATTATGCTAATAGAATGCACAAACCTCAACCGCGAGGTTTTGAATTTTTTGACGCAGTTCACAGATCAACTTCATAGGTCAAAGGAGTTTGCCTCCCACAGCCTGATAAAGTAGAAAGATATGAAGTGTGTGTATTATTATAATCTTGTTGAATGCAAGTTTTTAGACGGAATACATTTGGTATATTTTCATCTGCGCATTTGTTCGTAATGAATCTTTTTCGTTAGACACTGCTCCAGGCAAGGGCAAAACACTTAGGAGAGTCTTTTCATGGAAGTGTTTCAAGGTGTTAAATGTAAAAACCCTGTAATAAAAGCTTCCATAGAACAGGAGTGTAAGCAGAAAAGAAACTACAGTAGCAATCCTTGCACCAAAGAACAACTACTTTTCCATGAGCATTTGCAACGCAAGACAAAACTTGAGGCATATAAAATG